TTATTTCAAATGGCCAATTTCTAACGTAAGTGCCAGATGCTTTCCATGAGATTTATGATGATGGAAGAGAAGGTTGCAGTTGGAGAGCTGCTACGTCGAACAAAGCTATGCTTTGAGAGGTCAAGCTCCGGGCCCTATGATGTAGGATCCCGATATGCTCGTCTCTTGATGCTTCTAATCCCGCCACAACTGCCTCATTCGACTTCATCACAAATCTCGGGCTGAACATTAGACCATAGATTATAGAATCCACCAAGATCCTATGTCACTCTCCTTTCATACCTTCGACTCAAATGGAACTTCCTGGTTTAACATGAGCGAGCAGTACTACTGATTCGATTTTCAGCGGTCAGCAGGTACGCAGAACCAAGCAGTATCCTTAAACATTAAACCCTAGACATGGGATATTCCTGTAGAGCAGCCGAGAATAATACTGGTTTGCTGCACCCAACCCACCCCTCTAACCCTATACACTAGGGTCTTGTTATTGGGGTTATATAGCCTACTTCTTTCACTATTACTGGCCTAGTTCGTTTATCGTTTCTGACTTTAACAATTTCCTTGAAATTACCGTTATTACATAATGTCAATGAACAGGTCCTTGCCGCACAGTGCAGCAGAGTAGGCCACTGCTGATTCCTCCCTAATGCTTGACGTCCGTTTGCCGTGACCTACGGTTAAAACTTGGATACCCGGCCTACACTGCGTATAAAGTGACTGAACTTGCCCAAACATATTTGCAATGTCGTCTGCATTGCTAACATTCACTCTATGAGACGTGACCTGACGGGATGGGTCATACGTTTTCAGCTCAGTAATGAGGGCTTCGATGGTCGATTCATTGGTGGAATAAGTCAATGCGAGATGAAATGTTCTCCATGGGCAAATAGATCACGAAGGTAGCTGCTGGAATACTTTTTTGGAACACGTTATGCACGAGCATCATATAACCGTATAAGGACGCCTAACGTGACTGACCACCGTGTAGGCCACGAAACCCGAGCTATTAAATTTAGATGCTTTTATCTCGACCATAACGCTACCTAGTCAATAAAACTGCCTATCTAGGTCAAACTGGACATGCACCTCTTCTATGTCCCTGAATTTTGCAATAAACCGCCATTCAGTAATGCTTTTCTTCCCGGCTGTAAAGGCGGCAAAGGCCTTCGGTAGATGGTATTTACTTTCTAGATCAAGTGCCCCTTTTTTTATGCTTCTCATTTGTGACCTGTAAATTGCTTACTCCTTTCCCGTCAAGTGCAGCCGATTGCATCGAATTTTTGTACGCTTTTAGAGTCAGGTTTTAATCGGACTCGGAGGGGTTCGAGACCTCATACGAAGTAACGCTTTAATGAACAAAGCTTATCTTTGTAGTTTCGTATAGTTCAAAGGCAATTTTGGCTCTCGTTTATTACCCTGGCTCAGAAGGGAGGGGGTTTGCTGTTCAAAGTTAAATATCAAAGTTTGGGATCACTCGGCCGGGCCAAAGAGGCATTAAACTGGCTGCCTCAACGCAATTTTTCAATAAGATGGGATTGAAAGGCCCGAGTTCGTGCGGAAGGATTGGGGTAAAGTAATCTAGTCTGTCAATATGGTTGACCCCTCCCGTCTCGTATCTTGATTATAACCATCTGACCGTACGAACGCTTTAAAGCTACAAATCAGCCGGTATCAATTATAATACCAGTTGTTCGCGAATTTCGCCAAATTTTGCCGTCAATTCACTTCCGTGGCTGTTGAGTATCACGAGTTGGAACTTCCCTTCGCTCGAGAAATGGTCGACAGATTAAACAGCTTTTCGAGCCAATAAAGGCCGATTTTATTAGACGCTGCCCGTTCAAATCTCCAATCATTCGGAAGGGTACCGATTCAAGATCCAATATAATCCTTGCCTTCGAAAACAACGTACGGAAGTAAGGCCAAAACCGAAGCATTCGTACAGTTAGTAGCGGTCACCCACTCGCAATTTCCAGGTTGTAAAAACAATTGCCACCGTAGCATTGAGCTCTCATAATGACCTTTGCGGTAGCTATTAACCCTATACGAAACCGGTCTCGTCAAAGTTATAAATATGATCCGGATCGATCCTGTTCTGAACAATCGTTTTTACTAAGGAAAAAAAACCACTTTGCGATAATTCTCGGGTCTTCGCACTTCACATTCATATCGTTTTGAGAAACGGGTCAAGAGTTAGGGATGTCGTTTAATAAACTTTGTACACTAATTTTGGGCAACCAAAGAAACCTGGCTAGTTCCGTGCGCAGCGAGAAGATTATTTGCCGAAAATTGATTGTGTCTGAATGGATTTCTGGGTAATTACCCGAGAACCCCTTAGGACGCCAAAAACTGGTTCTATTGCCTCGTTACAGCTATAGGGAGAATCGGTATTTGAAGGGTGACCGCCACGTCAACTCTTCCCGTGGGTCACCTCTTCACGTTGACAATTGTGGCTTGACATAGAACATGTCGGCTCTATTCCATAGCCGGTCGCGAAAACATGGTTTCAATCTCGATAAACTTCAGAAAAGAACAAATCCTCTGTTTTATTTTCCAAACCCGACAGTGGAACCATCAAAAGAGATCGCCCATGCCAAAAGGCGGCGATAACAAATTTCGGCTATAGGGCAAGAAAACACGGCTGGGGTAGGGTGGTTGTACTATGCTTTTAGGTGGTCATGTAAATTAATTTTAGGTGGTCATGTAAATTAAAGGAGCATGAGAGTCTGTCCTTCATCCTCGGGAAGCCGACACAGCTTACTACTCGTAATGGCCCACACGTAAGACTAATATTATTTGGTGATACAAACTGCCAGCCAGCGCAAATAAACGGGACCGGGTGAACAATTCCAGCTACATAGTAGAGGAACATGGATAGCGCCACGGAGAGGATGGACAATCGCCGACTGCGACTGCCCAGAGGTTGACACAGACCCCTCTGTCAATAATTAGACGGGTGACACTGTTTTCCATAGTTTCTGTTCCCTTCTGTGACCTGTCAGGTCCTAGAGAATGGGCTTGGCACGGTCGCTAATTCCCCATTGGTGGAGAAAAGCGCCACCCAACTATAGCGATTATCATATCTGTGGGTGATGATGCTGTTGACTCAAGTCAACAACGGGCCTAGGCTAACGTGCTTTTCTTCCTCGCCACAGAGAAGCGAGCATAAGAAACAATGAGTATGCTCAGATCGCCCATAACGGTCTGAGCGATAATCATCCTGATAACAAAACTCGACCATCTGCCACTCCCTCTCTTCCATGCTCGCCAACCAGGTCGGCTGTTATCATGGCTGGCGAAGCAGGGCCCATCAACGTGTCCCGGGCGATGGCCATGTTGATTGCAGCATTTTTCGCTCTAGCATGTTATAATGTTCTGGAAATCGTGATTTCGATCTTCACCACCTTCAAATGTCGCCACGGACTCTACTTCTGGAGCATGCTGATCGCTACTTTGGGGATCTTACTTCACGCCATTTCGGTATTTCTTCGATACTTTGCACTCGCTCCTAATTTCCCTATGTGCGTTTTGATTTGCATTGGCTGGTACGCCATGGTGACCGGTCAGTCCGTGGTGCTATATTCGCGACTACATCTGGTGACCACCCATTCACGCCACTGTCGCTGGGTTCTATACATGATCGCATTCAATTTTTGCGTCTTGCATGTCCCTGTTACCATCTTCTTTCTTGGGAGCAACCTCGGCGTCAAGAGCTTCGTCACGCCATTCAATATCTATGAGCGGATCCAACTGACTGGGTTCGCCATCCAAGAGACGATCATTAGCGCTCTGTATATCTGGGAAGCAATGACAGATCTGAGACCTGTTCTTGATATGAAAGGTTCTGTTGGGCAAACGGTTATCATTAACCTCATCATTGTCAACATCATCACGGTACTGTTGGATGCGACCCTTCTCGCCACTGAGTACACCAACAACTTCGAAGTCCAGACAACGTACAAACCGGTAGTTTACAGCATCAAATTGAAAATGGAGTTTACAGTGCTCAACAGTCTTCTCACGGTGGTCCGCGCAAACCCTTCGGCTGTCGAAGGACGTGAACAACTAAGGGAATCGGATCATGATCGTCTAGAGCTGCCATAAGAGTGGCCTTCATACACGATGGGTAGCCAACCAGAAACCCATTCCAACCCAAAAATTGACGGATCATTTTATCATTTTACCTACATAAAGGAAATGGAGTTCAAGTGAAAGTATCATGATGCATTAACCCCAGTGCCCAAAACCGGGTCGAGATATATCGGGCCAGAAGAGGTTAGTAATGCTAAGCGTCATGCGGTAAGCAAACATACTTCACGTCTGCAGACACAATTTTCATAGATTTATATACCGCTTGGACGACTCCCAATCGTACAAAAATAACGCGTATGGCCTAAGATCGTAAATACTACCTGCATTCTAAGAAGGTGATCCATTATCTAGCGAAGCCCAAGCACTTTGGACCGTAAAACATACAAAGCCATATTTATGACCCATTCAAAAGCACGTTCCACCGAATACAGTGGCGCACTACTAATTCCTTTATGCCACTTTTATGTCGAGTTGAGCCAAACCAATTTCTTTCCTAGGTACGAGGTAAAACATTTCAGCAGCTGAAGCAGTAAATATTTTCTCTGAAAATCCGCAGCTACGAAGAGTCTTCGACAGCGGAAGCTATTCAGCATCCTAGTCACTTGGTTTCATTGCATAAACAACCTCAGGCCAATGGGTAAGGTTCCCGTATACACTTCCTCCGTATGTCAAGTATCCTTGAACCATCGGTCGGGGCAGTCTAAGTATATCATCTGTGTTACCAAACACCCAGGCTGTTTGCATTCCTAGTGGATGAAATAGAGTTAACCAGGAACATTGACGTGAAGAGATTCAGACGCAAAAAGCAAATATATATATTGTATATATATATCTGTATGTCTGGCAGTAGGAAGCACAAAGGGAGACCAAACACATACCCATAATCATATGCTGTAGAGTATGGCAATGGATCATCCACACTTCAGGATCTGTAACCGGACGCGCCATGCTCCCCACCCTGCAGCTTGTCCTGTGGGTGCGGTTGTGGAATACCGATAAAGCATTGTTGTGTCACGTTGGATTGGTTGTCGAAACTTTAGAGAAGATCCATTATCAGTGATATTGTAGGTTCCTGGTCCACTTCCAATATCGTAAAAATGTAAGCCATGTGAATGAAAAAAATGCACGTCGAGTGCTCCGGCAGTTGAACCTGAATTTTGGATCACAATTTCTAACACCTCCCCAATTTGGGCCGGGAAAGCTTTCAATGGTCACATCATATGACGGAAGAGCCGCTTCATTTCTGGTAGAGCGCCACAAGGTATGGTGTTTGCGGGAATGCCTCGGCCCAAGGTGCGCCATTTTGCCTCCATGAGGTAGAGCCATTTATGATCTGCTCGACCTTCACAGTCACTCGTCTGGTGACATTAGCGAGCAAAGGGAAGTCGTTTGGGATGAGGGGGGAAAGGTCATTGTCAACTCAGTCAAAAGTCGTAGTGGGCAGCTCCATAGCTGGAATCTCTGGCGGCTGAATGTTATCGTACTTCTCTCTCGGATACTCAAGCACGGCGTATTATCGTGTGAGAGTCGGTCGTTCTCTTGGCTCGAGCTATAGAAAATACTTCTTGCGACCTTCTGTATAAAGCTCTATTTCACTTCTGGTCCGGAGTAAGACACTGTAGCGTTGGCCCGTGCCTACTTGGAGGTGTCTTATTCGCGGCGGCGAGTGTATAATCCATCCGCTTCAGTATTTACCATTTCATGGCCCTCGAATGCCATTGAAAGAAGCAAGGAGCCGTGCCGCCAATAATACGAAATCGTTATGTCTTGCTTGGTTTGACATCGAATGAAGCAAGACAGCACGACAGCCATCCTGAAGTGGAGTTGTTAATTGTACCCCGGCCACTCACAGGAATAGCTTCAGTCTCACCACACTGGGTAAATGGATCGGAGGTTAGTCCTTGCCCCACTTGCGCATCAGACTTGTTTAAATAGTCTGTTAGAAGAATAATGCGTTCATCGTACAAATAGGGAGAATCTCGGGAATCGCGCACTATCAGACACTCTGCTGCCAACACAGCTTGGAAGCTGACATGGGAGCGGTAAAAGTATGTCCCAGCTTCACCGTATTGGGGCCGCACTTCATAGTCAGAAAGGTATCCTGGAGGTATCGGCCACTGGCTTTCCATAGGAGAACCATCTGGAAAATGAGAAGTTGACTGGCCTAATCCATGCCAATGATATAAACGTCAAACTTAGTGTGGATAGAATATCGTTAATTGGGTAAACTACCAAGTAAGCTTTTGTCCTGAACTGTAGTTGTAAACCATAACCCAGGTCACCTCCTCTTCACGAAGGACTATCAAAGGCCCTGGCGTGGTTTTATTGAGGACTACTGTAAAACGACTCATACAAGCAAGTGGAATTGACTTACAGTGACGCGGAGAATGACGTCAGGAGTAAAGTGCTCATCGTGTCGCACAAGGCTTGCAGCCCAGACAAAACAGAATGAGGGTACTGTAATTAAAAAAATCTAGCACAACAAAATTGTCTCAGTGGCGAGAATAATGTTGTTCCTAGGCGGGGTTAAGGTTTTTAACTGAGGGCGTAAATTGGAAATGTACACAGCTTGGGTTAAATTTCCCGTTCAATATTCAACAAGCAGACCATCTAAGTCAGTCCTTTTTTGCTACTGGCTCTTGGTATCTCCAGAGTTGATATTTGAAAAGTCTCCACTCCTTCTTCTACCCGTTCATTCAATAAACGTTAACGTTATTGGCGCAATAGAGTTCAACTGTGGGGAGTTAAATGGAAAAAGGAGACTCCAGACGTGTTATGTATACTAAGCAAAATCAAAATGCGTGTCTAGGGCAACTGGTGCCAAACAGTGCATTCATGCCTAACGCTTGTTGTTCAAGGAGGAAGACTATAACCCTGATTCTGTCCAAGGAGACATGGTATACGATTTAGTCTTTCCTGCGCACAGCTTCGTGTTCTAAGTCAATAACCACCTCTAGAATATTCTTTCAATGAATCCGACACCGGACGTGGGTGCCGGAACACCATAAGACTACTATTGAGAGGAGGTGGTGGCTTTGTATAGACGACACATCTTTACTAACACGGCTAGGGTCTTACGGGTTATGCTTCCGTTAAGATGGAGAATCATGGGGCTAAAATTCAGAACTTTTAGTAGAAGCTGATTGGACTGCACAAACAGAATTATTTTGGATCTTCGACAAATCGTGTTTCTGCATGAACCATCGCTTTGACGCTTTGACACTTAGAACTGGTGTAAATGGAGGATTTCCTTGTTTGAGGAGAGGGGTGTTGTGTGGGGTGGGGCGGGTCTTCTAAAGTTTGCTGGCATTAGAACCATGTTTCCGCGCACACGGCGGTTGAATTATGGCGGTAGGTGTATGATATTAGTCGAGCCAGCGAGGAGTCACTCCATCAAATGCCGATTGGTCATCGCATTAGCCGTCACACGCAATTTAGCTTTTTTTTTTTTGTGGGGGAGGGACACCGGTGGCGGGATATGGATAGACCGCAAATCCCATGCTGACAACGGCAATGAATGGTGGATAGCTTAGGAAAGGTTTAGGAAAAGCCTTCATAGAGTGGCCATTTCCCCAAGCTGCAGAAGCAGGCGATACAAAACTATACTTATTCAGTTTTCTTCCTTGTCTTCGTTCCACATTTGAGACAAGTAAAGCAGACATGGTTCTCGACAACGACCTTGACGGGAGACTTGCCTTGATTACGGGTGCTTCAGGAGGGTAATTTTATTTTTCATTCATATGATGCTCGTTGCTGACAATTTGCCAAAAGCATTGGAGCAGCTTGCGCCCGTGACCTGTTCGCTCATGGGGCACATCTAGCATTGACATATTCCACAAATAAATCAGCTGTCGATGCCCTCATTGACGAGCTGAAAACACAAGACTCATCCCGTCGGGTCACGTCTCATAGAGTGGATGTCAGCAATGCGGATGATATTGCAACCCTTTATGAACAAATTCAATCGCTCCACGAGCAGTCTGGACCGGATATCCTGATTTCAAACGCAGGCTACGGCAAACGAATTTCAAACATTGTCGACATTCCGATCGACGAATTTCAAAAGATGATACAAGTGAATCTTGTGTCCTCCTTCCTGCTGTCTAAGCTCGCTGTCCCATACATGGTCTCTCAACAGTGGGGGAGAATCATCTTTATGTCATCGATTGCGGGAATCGGGGGCGGAATAAATGGTTGTCATTACGCTGCTAGCAAGGCTGGTCTCACTGGCATGATGAAGAACTTAGCGACTAAACTGGCTCACGATGGGGTCACGGTTAATGATGTGGCACCGGCGATGATTGGTGATACCGGAATGATCCCAGACGCCAAATCCCTAAAAGGGTCACCTGGAGATGTGTCCAACATTCCAGTGGGTCGGTTAGGTACACCGCAGGAATGTGCTAATGTGATAACGATGCTCTGCAAGACTGGTTATATGACTGGACAAAGTATTCTGCTTGCTGGCGGGTTGAAATGATGTATAGCTTACAGCCGTACAATGTGGCTAGTTTGGACTTCTCTTTTCTCTTTTACTCATGGCACATCTGAGACCCAACAAAGCTTATACCTGCTACGAGGATGATTGGTTCCACTTATGGTCGTTATCTGTCAGTAAAGTGGAGAGGGTTCTTACTAGCGTTATTTGTTTCATGGAACACCCACTGCTTCCTGGTTCCCGAGGCATCAACTGCTGAATCAGCATATGGGGAGCTTTATTTTACTAGCAGATCTATATAGAAATACACATGTCAAGGACTGTGCAATGGCCTCATTGTCTTGTTCTGGTACTAGCGCATACTGCATCTCTCGGATCCGATATTATTGAACACAATGTTAGTCAGCTTTACTGAAGGCTTTGGTATGCTTGCATTTCTTTTAAACACATTATAAAGCCGTAAAAACTACGTTTAGCTTTTCCATATACTACTAGCTTCTTGCTAATTCTGCTCCCTTGCCAATTGTGGACCTCCGAATCCTCCGAGTTGAGGTTCGTATACTTATAGTGCTCTAAACGAAAACTCAGCTGCGCGAAAAGAGAGCAATATTGTTCAAAATAAGGGGAGACTGGCGCAACGAATCACTTGCCGGCGTTCATCTAACGCATCCATATTCGGTCAACCTGAAAGTTTAGACATTCGTAGCTGAAGATGCTTTCTTTCTTTTGTTTCGGGAGGTTGGCATTGTCGGCTTGAGGCTAGACCGCCCAGCAACGAGTCATTTCTTGTAGGACGTAATTTGATTACCAGGGAAGTTTATTCTCCTGGCAGATCTCGCTGCGTGGTTGAAGGGAAGAGGTTGATTTGACTGAAGAATTTTCATAATCTCTCTTATTAGCAAGATAGTGACCGATGTGCAAACTACTCTATTCGTGAAGTGGCCATTCGCTGGCTTAAGTGCCGCAGTTTGCCTACGGCGAGATTTTATATGCCCGGAAGTTGGTGGAGTTGGTGGCTCAATCGTCCGGTTGGATAACCGCTTTGCTTGTTGGTAGGGGGCTGTTGTCGTGGATTTTAGCCATCCGTGACTCGATCGGTTATCGCATCATCCTTCACTAGGGAGATTTCCAGTGCCAAGAGGCATCTGGTGGCGACTCTTACTCCTATTCCTTGCTTAGTATTGGCAAGATATTGATTTAGTATGGCGCAATCGCAATATGTCATTATATTCGGTTGTCGGGAATGCTGGCTTCCGTCTCCACACACTCAACTAGAGTTGCTGCCAGGTCTAATCCTGATCCGCAATGTTGGCTTTGATGACTGTATGGTTATTTTATCTCTGGTCTGTCTATCCTCAACGGCTGAGTTCATTTAAGAACTAATTATCTAAACCCGATGTAGGGGTTTGCTATTGCGTCATTATTAATGCTCATATTTGGTAAGCGCAGAGTAAGTTTCCTTTGCGCACAATGCAATGACCGATAACAATATCAGAGGTTCATTATGGCCTTGGAAAGTCACAAGAGACAATTCATGCAAAAGAGATCGAGAGACAATTTTGGTACATTTGAACACAAAATTTAATGGTACATTGTCAGACCTATCATTGGTGTCGCCTGTGCGATTGAGGGATAGAAAGTTAAGTCACACCATTGCCGTATAATTACTATGTATATCTTCATACAACCTATCCTTAACATTTACCAAAGCCTCGATTTTACTGCTGCATATGCGGATTTTTCCGGGTCGTCGATTTATTCCTATCTTCCGTATTGCCGTCGGCGTGATAAGTATATCCGGATTTTTGTGTGTATTTAGCTCTGTTCTAAATTGTACTCCAGTAAAATTTTTCTGAGATACCTCCATCCAAGGTAGCTTCATGCCAAA